CATTATTTATAATATTAAAAAGTAGAATTCAGAGTAAGAATATGCTCTCTGTTTATAGGCTGGAGATTATAGGCCCTAGGAAGGGGGAGGGGAGTACTATTGTTATTTTGCTAAATGGTAATGTTGTTAAACTGCCTTCTAAATACTTGTGTTTATACCAATGGATGTGTGCTGCTGTCAGCCTTGATAAAATAAGCTTCTTCCTATGGTAGGCAGTAAGTAGTCAATGCAGACTTTCAAGTACTTGAAGCACAAAGAATAAGTTCAGGCTAAATGGAACATCTATACCAACCTCTCCCCCAAGCCTCAGGGAACACCAAGGAAGAAGGGGTGGAAAGAATATAAGAACGAAGGATGGAAAGGAGTGCTTTGAAATACTATCTTCTGAACATAACATGTCCATTGCACTCCCATATTCACAGCAGATATGGTTACTTGTACAGGACCTGAAAGAGATTAAACTAGTCAAAATTATAGCATGGGGGTGGGGGTTTGCTCACAGAGCAATTGGCAGTTGCTGGCTCATGGGGGAAGAAGAGTCAATTTGCCTTGAGTGTGTGGCCACTGGTAGGTTTTCCTTGCTTAAGTAGAGGGCTATAAACCTTTTTATCATGTCCCTAATGGCAACACTAAATGTATTTGGTGGGATAGTTTAAACAAAGACTATATGAAGTTGGAATAGGAACATGTTGTAGGAACAACAAAGGGAGTTGTATGGAGGATATAGTGAATAGATATTATCAAAACACATCAGATATATGTATAGAATGCTCACAAAATAAATAAAAATATTATTACAAGTCTTTCGATGTGAAAAAGCATAGAATGAGATGCTGTGGAACAATCCTTCTGTACACTGTAAATATACATTATTCTCATTGGTTAATAAATAACTGACTGCCTAGTAGCCAAGCAGGAAGTGTAGGATTGACAGCCAATTGAAAATGCTGGGAGGAAGAAGGGTGGGGTCAGAAGAGTCACCAGGAGATGCAGAGAGAGCAAGACATGCTTGAACAGGTACAGCCATGAGCACATAGATTAATAAAATTGGATTCGTTTAAGTTATAACAGCCAAGCATTTATAACTAATAATAAGACTCTGAGTGGTTATTCGAAAGTGGCTGCTGACACAGGAAAACTCCATCTACAATGACACTCTTAAAGCTTGAAGAGGGGTCTGAAGAGAGAAGTACTTACTGCTCTTTCAGAAGTCAAATTTCAGGGGATTCAACACCTTCTTCCAAACTCCATGAGGACCAGACAATATACATGGTGCACATACATACACATAGGCAAACACTCACACATAAAATAGAAATAAATAATTTTTAAGTTGAAAAATATAGGTTTTGGTAGCTCACAAACGTAATCTGAACATACGAATAGCTACGTCTAGAGAGTTTCTTGAGTTCAAAGCCAGTCTGAGCTACATAGTAAGTTTAAAACTGGCATGGACTACATAACAAGACACTGCCTCAAAAAAAATATTTTTAAAAGTTAAGGTCATATGCCTTTTGTATGAGGAGGATGCCAATTGTAGTGGCTGCCTCCTGTTACTATTTGTAGAAATAAAACAACAGAAACCTCTGAAGGAAAACGCATGTTTTTTTTCTCTTTTAAAAGCTGTAAAGGAAAAAAAATCAAGCATATGTTATATACTTGGTTTTCATAAAAATCTTAGGACTCTTTTGAGCTGGTTACTGTTGTAAAAACTATCCATTTGAGGCATTATATACTCTCCAATAGATGAATAGCATGGCATTTAAGTGAACGTAAGCCTTCACAATCTGATCTAATCTCATTTGTTCAGGCTCCTTTATCACTAGCTTCTTCCAAATGGTCTCTACTCACAGAGTATTAAGCATGCACCTGTAATGAATCTATTGTGTAGCTGTAGTTTTCCTACCTTGCCCACAGTCAGAACAAATCTCTATCATCTGCCAGTCCCACAGCCGCTCAGACCCAACCAAGTAAACACAGAGACTTATATTGCTTACAAACTGTATGGCCGTGGCAAGCTTCTTGCTAATTGTTCTTATATCTTAAATTAATCCATTTTCATAAATCTATACCTTGCCATGTGGCTCATGGCTTACCGGCGTCTTCACATGCTTCTTGTCATGGCAGCAGCTGGCAGTATCTCCCTCTGTCTTCCTGTTCCCTCCTTTCTCCTCTCTGTTAGTCCTGCCTATACTTCCTGCCTGGCCACTGGCCAATCATTGTTTTATTTATTGACCAATCAGAGTAATTTGAAATACAGACCATCCCACAACACTATTGAATTTATTATTCACTGTAGTAATAAACACATATGCCATGAGGAACAGTGCTGCTCCACAGCTCTCAGTAATATGATAGAAAATGCTTGGAAGATTTGAGCTTTGTCTTTGGGATTATATTACTGTGAAGAGATAAAATGACCAGAGTAACTCTTATAAAGGTAAACATTTAATTGGGGTGGTTCACTTCAGTTCAGAGGTTTGGTCCATTATCATCATGGTGGGACATAGTGTTGAGCAGGCAGACATGGTGCTGGAGAAGTAGCTGAAAGTCCCATAGCTTACAGGCAACAGAAAATGGTCTGAGACACTGGGCAATATCTTGAGCATATATGAGACTGCAAAGCCTGCCTCTGCAGTGACACACTTCCTCCAACAAGACCACACCTACTCCACAAGGCCACACCTCTTAATAGTAACACTCCCTTTGGGGGCATTTCATTTCAAACCACCACAGACTTGTTGTTGATTAACTTGGTCTTGATCAATCTTGCTCTGGAGGAAAAGGATTAAACTAAAATTAAGGTTGGAACTAGTAAGATGTAGAAACAATTATATTAAATAGTTCTGTTTTAGATAGATAGATAGATAGATAGATAGATAGATAGATAGATAGATAGATAGATAGATAGATATAGATATGTAGATAGATATAGCAATTATATTAAACAGATGGTGTGATATTTGGCTGTTTTATAAAAACTGAAATCAGTTAAACTTATGAAATGTCATAGAATTAGGAGCATTTCAAACGAAAAGAGATTCAGAATGACTCACTTTACCAGAGGTTTATGTTATGTGCATTATCAGAGAAAATGAAGTGGCATACCCCATACTGAAGCAATGAATTTGTGTTTGGTCAGCATCTGTCACACACACATGTGCACACACATACACATATTCCAAAAGGATAGGAATCTCCCTCTCTCTCTCTCTCTCTCTCTCTCTCTCTCTCTCTCTCTCTCTCTCTCTCTGTTATACATGGGCAAGACAAAGGTACACTGTTACTTCTGCCATGCTCTTTGAGTGACAATACTAACAGGGAGTCCATTAGGCAGGAATAGCCTCCACTTCTTGACAGGATTTGCAGCTGTGTTTAACAGACAGATCCATAAATGTGCAGATGAGAGACAGACAGACAGACAGACTGTGGTGATATTTTGAACAAATAAAATTTGCCTGAAGATCAGAAAACAGAATAAACCACTAGATTAAAAATAGAGACCAGGCAGTGGTGGCACACACCTTTAATCCTAGCACTCAGGAGGCAGAGGTACAGATCCGTCTGGATTTCTGTGAGTTCAAGGCCACACTGGGCTACATGAGATTAATCCAGTCTAAAAGAAACAGAGTGAGGCAATGGTGACACACACCTTTAAGTCCAGCACTTAAGGTTGAGATAGGAAGTTATACGGCTGGGCAGAGGAATGAATATAAGGCGGGAGGAGACAGGAGCTCTGGCTCTTTCAGACCAAGGAGTTGGTGAAGTAAGAGGTGATGGCTGTGGCTTGCTCTGCTTCTCTGGTCTTTCAGCTTTCACCCTGATGCCTGGCTCTCCGTTTTTATTGTAAGACCATTTAGGATTCATGCAACAATAGACAGATAGACTGACAGATGGAAAACTAGATGACAGAGTTTGACCATATGATTTGTTTATTTCCTGTTACTGGTAGAGACTTAGTTGCTTGAATGAAATATTTTTACACACCCCTTAGGATATAGTTCACTATGTATAGAGGGTACTTTCAGCCGAATTTTATCATTAAATATGAAACATATTTAGACTAAACTTAATTTAACAAGAGCATACAGTGCCCTTTAAAATTTTATCTTTTTTGAGATTATAATATAAATACATCATTTCTCCTTTCCTTTCTCTCCTTCCGACCTCTAATATGCATCCTGCCTTGAACTCTTCTAAATTCATGCCTTCTTTTTTCATTTGGTATTTTCACATATATAAGTAACATTATACAGACTGAGAAAGTTATATTTTTGTATTTAGAAATACAGCGCCCCCACCCCTCACCCCCGTTTTTAAAACCTATCAGTGTCTAGTGGCCTTGTCTAATGTTGAAGCTCCACGAAACTGTTGTTTAGCAGGAATACACTAATTTCTAATCCAGGCTAAATCCAGATGTCAGAGTGTATTTATCTCTTCCTCAACCTACTCATGCTGCACAAAGAATTTTTATCTGTTCTCTGTGCATTCTTTTATATCCTAGTTCTGTGTCTTCAAGAATCCATCTCTTAGCACTTCAGTTAAGTTGTATCCATGACACCATTTGTGCTATATGCTGTTTGTTCACTTGCTTGTGTACCCTCTGACAGGACCACACTGCCCATCCATCTTTCAGTGTTGGCAAAGTACTGCAATGAAAAAACGTGTGAAGTACGCACAGAAAAGTTTATTTTCTTGTTCCAATAGCTTGGACCCACACGGCTAAACAGCTTCAGTTATCTCAATAAATTGTTTCTGGAAACAAACCCCAAGAATCCTAAATCTGAACTCAGAAAACAGCTCAGGACCTGAATCACTGAAGGTAAGGTACCCTTTGGTTCCTGGTCTCGCTGGCGCATCCCAGGGCCAAACTACATTTCCCACAATCCCTCGGAGCCGACAGGGCGTGCGGTATGAACTGAACTACAAAGCCCACAATCCTCAGAGAGCGCCTGTGGACTGCGCGGGCCGCGTCTCCGGAAGTCCCAGCGTCAGTTCCGTTCCCGTCTTCCCTTTCCGGTCGTCGCGCTCTGCCTGGCAAGGTCGCGAAGGAAGGAGACTGCGGTGCTGCGGCCGTTTCTCCCGCCTGCCCGCTCTGCGTCCCCCGCGGAGCTCCCAGCGGCGCCATGTTGGGCCAGAGTGTGCGGAGGTTCACCACGTCCGTGGTCCGCCGCAGCCACTATGAGGAAGGCCCGGGGAAGGTGAGTAAGGCCCGGCCGCGTCGGGGAGCGGGGTGCTGGGCGCCATCCCCCTGCCTCGGGCCGGCCGGCCTGCGGAGTGTGGAGCGGGCCGTGGCCGGTCAGGGGCTCAGGAGGCCGCAGCGGGAGGAGGAAGCCGGGATCCCAGCGCTGCCTGCCCGCCGCAGAGCCGCCAGCCCCGGAGGGAGGACTCCAGGGTGCCCTGCCTGGGTTGCTTAGGTCGGAGCTGGGCGCCGTTGGACGGCGGCGAGTGAAGGTCACCGGGAACCAAAGGAAAAGAAAGGCCCGCGGCTGTGGGTCAGCCCTTTGAACCTGCAGCTCGCACTAGAAGTACAGCCCTCGGTGGAGGCCAGGCTTAGCCCGACGTGTAGATAAACCGAGTTGTGGGTGGGCACAGCCCCGCCGCTGTGAGGCGAGGCCTGGTGGAGGGATGAGGAAGGGTGTACGGGGCAGAGCGGCTACCTATAAAACAGCCAAACGTTGTACCGCCATGGAGACTGTCGGGTACTTGGTGGAGAATTTCTAATAACAATGAACTAGAGTGGTGTGTTTGTTTCTAAAATAACTACTTTGCAGGGTAGTTTTTTTTTCAATTATCGAAAATGCAAGACTTAATCCGTTTCCTAGACTCTCCTAATCGGGTGCACCGACTGGTATTCAGAAAACCGAGGTGTTTTTGTTTCATGTTCTGTCGAATGCACCTGATTGTAAAATACGCGTATGTACACGATTCCCACCCCCACCCCCTTCCCTATATTAGGTGAAATCAGATTCTTTGGAAAAAAACGTTTTTGAAGCTTTTTTTCTTTCCCAACAGAATTTACCATTTTCGGTGGAAAACAAGTGGCGGTTACTGGCTATGATGACCGTGTACTTTGGATCTGGATTTGCCGCTCCTTTCTTTATTGTAAGGCACCAGCTACTTAAAAAATAAGGATATTTAATTCATCCCTTTAACAGGTAATTAGTAGTTTTCTAATTTTCCTAAAATGGTAATTTCTGTTGTGGTACCCTGTACACTTTCTATGACACAAAAATTAATGTGTGCTAATTCCTGAAGGTAAGTGTCAAGGTGATATTGGTAGAGGCAGTATGGCAAGCCTATAAATAAATAAATACTGTTTTGATCAGTAAAGGTCAGTGTTTATCAAGTTCCCCTTTACACTGAATCCGAACACATTCTTCAACAAACCTGTAAGATGAGTGACAGTAAGACCCCATTGAAGACACAAAGATAATAAGTTTACTGAGATTCTGTGGCTAGTAACATTAGCATAAGAGGCCCACACAGGGTAATCTTTTTCTGAAATAAAAATGCACTAGTGGCATCCAACTTTTGACATTAAAAAACAGCATTATCATTATGTTCACAGGGAAGAACCCCAGAATTGAGTTGCTAATCTGCAAAAAACAAAACTCAGAGTAGATTGAGTGAGCTTAGATTTTCTGTTGGGCTGCATTTATATCAGCACTTGTCAACCTGTGGGTTGTGACCCCTTTTGGGGGTCAAATAGCCCTTTCAAGGAGGTCATCTGAGACCATCATGTTTACGTTATGATTCAGAACAGTAACAAAATTACAGTTATGACTTAGCAAGGAAAATAATTTCATGGTTGTGGGTCACCACACCATGCGGAACTGTATTAAAGGGTTGCAGCATTAGGAGGGTTGAGAACCATTGATTTATACCTATATTGGGGTGCATATGGCTTGTAAGTTGCAGACCTGCAGAAACCTTTAGGTTCCTTTAATGCTAAAGTATTAGTAAATTAGCCTCCTGAGGTTGAGCAATATTACATTATGGAAATATGTGTCTGGTAACTTAGAAATTCCTTCCATATGCAAAAGGTTTTATTTAGCATAATTTATGCAAGGTTTTGGTACATGTGATGAAGCAAATCAGTATGAAAAACATGATACTGTAAACGCTTTCTGATGTATCAAATTGCTAAAAGATATGAAACTACTGTGACTTCTGTCAAGTTTAACTGGGCTTCTAATGCCATTAATTTTGTTTTTATCTTTCAGAATGAAGATTGTTTAAGAGATGTGATCTGAAAATTGGATTAAACTCTTAAACTCTTACTAAATAAAATTGTAAATAAACTAGTGACAAATATTTAATGCCTCTTTTTTGAAATAAGGAATGTGACCGGGATAAGCAGTAGCTTACCATTATTATTTTCACATAGGCTTGTGGTTAGTACAATTTTCACTGAAAAAAAAAAATTTAATGGAAAAAGTTTAAGTTGACTTCAGAAAAGGAAAAAATGTATTTCACTAGATACAAGTTAACATTTTGTAGGTATTCCTCAGACTCCAAAACATAGGTTTTTGGTCAAACTCAGGATTTGTTTTTAGCACAAGCTTTTGTTGCTTACATAATGGCCACTTTGAAGCTGGGTTGGGGTGAAATTCTGAAGTTTGCATCAGAGTACACCACAGAAGGAATGTGGGCATTGCACAAAGGCATGAATGGCCCCAAATTCAGGCCACACTTGGTGCTGGCGAGAGACTCTTCCTCACTTTTCTTAAATTTCAATGTAAGTATCAAAACCACTTCCTTGATACTTAACATCAAGAAAAAAATGTGTGGGCTGGCATAAGAGATCAGGATAGTGCCTGGCATGCAGGGATGAGAACCTGAGTTGAGATTCTCCAAAATCCACTTGAATGCCAATAGGGAGATTCCTGCCTTTAACCACAGCAGGGAGAGGAGTGGTGGATAGAGAATGGTAGATCCCTCAAGCTCGTGGGACAGCCAGCCTACCTGTATCCTTGAATCTCCAGTTCACTTGACCTATTGTAAAGGTCTCCACACCTGCACTCAAGCACACACAAGAATGAAAATAGAGCTTAAAGATTTCTAGGGTTTGAGTATAGAGTACTTAACTGAAATAAGTGTGATGAAAAACTAAATGAATATATTGTTGAAGGTGATCATCATAAAACCCTTCTGTGAGAGATGAGTGTTTCAGTAACTAGCCTGAGCTACAGTTTGTACTGCCAAAAGACAGTTCAGCCTTACCATGTCTAAAGGTGATGTGGTGTACTTCCATATACTCTATCCTCTTCAGAGTAAAAGTCCTGTGTGAACCATGGTATTTAGTCACATCCCCCCAATTTGAATGCTGGCACCTTACTTCACTATTTCTGTACCACTGTCATATCTTCATTTAGTTCAAATATCATTTCTGTAGTTTGACTCCATTGAGGCCTTTCACAATTCCAAACACTATTAAGTCTCCAATACTGTCAATAGTTTTATAATTAGGTATTACTGAAATTACTAATTTCTTTGCCTGTTTTCCATATAATATTTTGTCATTTTGAAATCAAAGAAACTTCTTCATATATTTCCTCTGTAATTTAGTGAGTGGTAAATGAACTTTTTAAGAGAATTATCCGAGCCAAAAGTGATTATTTCTTAAAAAGGCAAACTAAGCTTGTGTTTCAATGTGCCATAAGTAAAAAAAGTCCACAAAAATTGACTGAACTGGGATCTCCCCAAGTGTGAATGTATTGAAATAATCCAGATGTGAAAACACAACAAGGTAGAATTTGTGCCAAAATATAATTCAGGCATACATGGTTTATTCTATCTCACTTTGTCCAAATTTCACTGATGATGGAAAGGCTTACTGATTTACCTTCTGGCAGACAAAGTGTGGATTTATGTTCTATTACAGCTTAAAAGACAGGAGTGTTATGGGCTCAGTGACTGGGCAACCCAGCCAGAAAACCATGGTGAGATTCTCGAAAGAGGTAGAATGCAATAGAGGAGGACCCCAAATGTCCTGACTATATATATACACTACACACCCACCATAAAATTTGAAAAATAAAGTGAGTCCTGTAAATTCTATGATTTTGGCTGTCCCTACATCAGAATCTTAAAATTTTCACATATTAGCAAATATTTTGTTCTCATAATTTTCTATACAAAAAAGGAAACAATACCTGTTTCTATCTATGTTAATCAAATGAAGGATTTGATTAATCAAATAACTCAAAGCTAATTTTGGATAGACTTTTTTGGTTCATATTTAAATATGGGTCCGTGGAAGTTACCTGACTTACAGGTCCTTTGGATTTTTTATAAATATATGAGAAGCAAACTCTATTCTTGTTTGGGAAAAGGAAATTTTAAGAACACACAAAAAACTGAGCACTGATACTGTTGAAAGGCAATGCACTATCCAACCCCCTGATTCGGGAGTTAACGTCCCCATTCGCCTAGGTCCCTGAGAGACAGTGGTGTGTAGAGCTCTTTATTAAATGTGTGGAGGGAGCAGGAAATATTTGTTGTTTTAAGCCTGTGGTGTTTCTTTTAAAGAGGACTTACTTTATGTCTCTAATTCTGCAACACAGAATGTGGCAAATAGATCCCCAAGGCCATTTTCAATTTAAAATAAGTGTATTTCCAATTATAAGTATGGAAGCACAACAGACTGAGAGATAGGAAGAATCTCTTAAATATTCCCTCTCTGTGTGAATAGAATCCAAAATGATGAAGGCTAAATAGATTTGGGCTTCCAAAGTGTGTTTTGTTTCAGGTGCAGTTATTAGAAATTTCTATTCTATCATTTTGATGGACCTTATTCACTTATTGGACCCTTTGTAAAAATTAAATACCCTGGCCTCCTAATCCTGTGACTTTGTACATTAGCAAACATACATATCTATTTTGTTTTCCTTCATAGTTACTTCAACTTTGAATTTTTCTGCTATTCCTACAAAAATCACTGTCCATTCTAAATTTTCTCAGATCTAACAAAAGATGAGTATCAATTATTCAAAGTTTTAACAGCATTGTGTGTACTTTGGGATAAGCTTTGTGTGCCTTCTTTGCTGGAATCAAAATGTACAACTATGATAAATATTAGGCTTTCAATAAATACATCTAGATAAATAGTGGTAATGATACTGAGTTCATGAACACTTCCAAATAGATACTATTTTTTTTTTTTTTTTTTTTTTTTTGTTTTTTCAAGACAGGGTTTCTCTGTGTAGCTTTGCACCTTTTCCTGGTACTCACTTGGTTGCCCACGCTGGCCTCGAACTCACAGAGATCCGCCTGGCTCTGCCTCCCGAGTGCTGGGATTAAAGGCGTGCACCACCACCACCCGGCAGATACTATCTTAAGATGGTCTCATACTCATTCCTTGCTTCCTAGGAAGAAATCACATATTGATAATTTTATCAGGTTCACATCTTATCACTAACATGTTCCACTTAACATTAGCAAAATTGCCTATATATCATGCTACAAGAACTTTCTCCAGCTTAATTCCACCCAATTTTAACTGCTAGTGTGAAGTCTATGTCCAGTCTCAAGACTGTCTCCAACCAAAGCAATCTCTATCTGTGTGTGAGCTTACAAACCTGTTTGGGAAGCAATGAATTTTACCACCTCCATAAACTGATTATGTGTCTAGTAAACTTTCACAGAGCTAGAGCTTATTAGTTTAACATGGGAATCATTGTTTCATTACCAGTTACGGAATAGAAGATTTTGAAATCCCTATGTGGTACTGTCTCCCTAACCACGTGCCCTTAAGGTACACAATTCTCAATTACAGTACCAAGAATCCCTTGTGAGAATAGGATGGGCTTGAAGCAATGGTCAGATTTGCAGTGTTTGCCATTGGGGGATTTAGTGTTGTTTCCTGGATTTTAGAAAGGACATTAGGTAAGATGGCCAGTTCTATAACCAGGCAAGGCTTCCATTGGTGGAACTGGGACACCAACCCAGCCACAAAACCTTTGACCTACAATTTGTTCTGTCTGCAGGAAGTGTTGGGTAATGGTAGTGCAGAACTTGTGGGAGTGGCCAATGACTGGTCTAATGCCACAAGAGAGAGCCCATGTTAGACACGGCCTAGATGGCCAGCAACCAAAGGCTGGATAGCCCAGAGACCTAGGATAGAACCAAACACGACTGGGAGAAAAAAAGAAAAAAAAAAAGAATGAAATGAAAATCTATGAAGTGATTCCTAATGATATTCTACTAAACTCATAGATCAGTGCCTAGCCCAATTCCCATCAGAGAGGTTTCAGCCAGCAACTAATGGGAGCAGATACAGAGACTCATAGCCAAACATTAGGCGAAGCTCAAGGAACCCTACAAAAGAGGTAGAGAAAGGACTGTAGGAGCCAGAGGAGTCAAGGACACCAGGAGAACACGGTAAAATCAACTAAGCAGGGTTCACAGGGTCTCCTAGAGATGAAGTGATGATCATAGACCATGCATGGGTCTCTACACAAACTCTGTGGTTGTGTAGCTTGTTGTTCTTGTGGGCCTCCTAACAGAGGGAATGGGGTTGTCTATGACTTTTTCCTGCTGTTGGGACCCCTTTCCTTCTCCTAGGTTGCCTCGTCCAGCCTTGATAATGAGGATCTGTGCCTAGTCTTATTGTAACTTGTTATGCCAAGTTACATTGATATCCCTGGGAGGCCTTCACTTTTCTGAAGAGAAACAGAGGAGGAGTGGATCTAGGGGAGAAGGGAAGGACAGGGAGGGGTGGAGGGAGAGGAGGCTGTGGTCAGGAGGTATCATATGAGAGAAGAAGAAAGGGAGAGAGAGAGAGAGTTAGAAATATCCCCCGGGTATCATAGAAAAGGGGGAGCTTCTTAAATCTAAATGTGGCAAATAGATACACAAAGTTAATAAATAAACAAACCTTACTATATTGATAGTCATAAAAAGTAATCAACTTTGGTTGCTCTTTAGAAACGGAGGAGGAGTGGATTGTGGGGGTGGAACCAACAGGGAGTAGGGAGGGACTTGGAGGAGAGGAGGGAGGGGAAACTGTGGCCGGGGTACAAAATAAATAATAAATATTTTTTTAAAAAAGTAATCCAACCATAATTATGCCCTTAATACAAGTAGGAAACTTAAAACGTCCTGCATGTCAGAAAGTAAACATTGAGATCAGAAAAATAATGTCTAAACCTGACACCCAAGAGAGGAGTAAAACAGATGGGGGCAAAAACCAAGTGCCACTCAGAGCAGGAGTGTTCAGAGTCAGCTTGAGATCTGGTGGAGGAGAGCACTGACTCCTGGACAGCTAAAAGAGAGTGACTTGAAAAGTGAGCAGAGCCCAAGCAGACGTTTCC